AAGAATTGGATCAAAATGGGGAAAAAATAATTGTGCAAAGAAAACATTCGAATTCTGATTTGGACCCATAATACCAGTTTGGAAAGAGGATGACAACAAAGGTAAAACTCATTGCTTTGCCACGTTTTACAATGGATTTTGGCCATCTGAGTTCGTTTAGGACTCGAAAACTGTTTTTTATTTTTTAGCGCTATTTTTGTCATTTAGTTTATTTCGAATTCTTTGCAATTATAATTTGTTTAAACTATATTTTCATATAAACCCTTATAAATAAATGATTAATTCATTTTTTTTTTATCATCTTTCAATTAATAAAATTCGTGAGTTTATTTTTTTCATAATTTGGTGGGTTCGAAATTTCGTGTTTTTAACATTTTCACTTGAATTCCTTTATCACCTTCATAAAATAAGTGCAAGTACGACACAAAAATTTACGTGGTTCAACAATCATGCCTACATCTACAAATCCACACTAATTTTTCACTATATCAGCGAAAAGAAGTGGAATACAAAAAAGTACACTGTATTTTATTTGCCTACGCATGGGCAATCTCTCAATTTTCTGTCATTAACTCTCTGCACAAACTAAAGCATAATTGCTTCTCACTCATCGTGCTTTTCTCTCTGTTGCTTGTGTTATGTATTTCAATTTNCATAAGTGGTTAACTTCTTCGTGCCTCTACATGTGAAAACTCCTCCATAAGGCCTGATTCCACAGCAAGCATTCACTTCTCCTTTGATTCATACTTCTTTCGTGAGCACCATTCTAGTGAATGGAATGCGAATGATTATTAACTGCATAAAATTCTTATGCCATTTGGATACGATAGATGACAAAATGTTCAAAGCAGTGAAATTTGAAACTAAATTGAAATTTAGTGACCCAGTTAAAATTTTGCTGAAAATTGAGTGACTATTGAAAACATTTACCAAACCTTTGATTAATTGATCTAGAGTACTTCTTAAAGTCGACTACATTTAGGCTCGTAAAAGAGCTAGACTCCACAGAACAAATAGACAAATATTTTACATGCATCTCTTGTCCACTACCATCTTAGATCGAATCAAGTTTGTCAATTGAACTTATGAACACAAGCATAATTATTCGACTCAGTTTCTAACTTGCACGAACCAATATCAAGCTCAGGATATTAAAGTTCGTGCCAATATTGCAACCCATTTTTAAGTTTGTCTCCTCAATTTGGAATTACATTGAGAAACATGAATCCTTAACCAGAAAGTGTTTTGAGGATTGAAACAAATGCAATAAGTCTGACGTAATTTATGTTATACAGAACTGACTGCGTTAGAAGTGTAGGAAGATCTTGATATATAGGTCAAGTCAGCCGTCCCACTAGAAATACTTGTGTTATTGTTTCCACTCATCATATGACCACAAAACCACAATTTGATTACATACCGTAGTTGGAGGGATTGTTCATTCGATCTTGAAGCCAATTATAGAAATCTGAGTTGCAATACTTGAAATCTTTCAACAGGTATTCAAGGTTTCTTAGAACAATCTTGAGGGCATTATTATGTGCCATTGCAAAAGCATTGGATTGTTATAAACACCCTCCTTCATGAGCTTTTGGATTCATAGCTCTCAAAACAGGCTAACTCAAAATCCCAACTTCCCTCGCATATGGTGCTATCTCAATATTAATTATACGTAGTTGTCGCATATAAAAACTTGCTTGAAATGCCTTTTTCAAGCTCCACATGACCATTCCTACATATTCTTCTGGTTGGTGTAGCTCTTGCATCTTGGGGTTGCCAAGATACCCTCCCAAGTAATCATTACTTCCCATACTATTGTAATAAACTGCATTTGATATGAGTTGCAGATCCCAATTTCTCCTTTAAAAAAATTTGAACTTTTTCGAAGTACGTAGTTTAACTGTCTCAAGATCAGTGGTATGTTAATTATTTAAGAACATCAAATTTATATAAGTTTTTAATATGATCAGTGATTAAACCCCGGTGTGCAGTTGAAAGAATACCAGCTCCTCCCGAGGCAAAGTTAACTCCATGGCTATATATTCAGTAGATGGTTCCAAGTATGGAGGAATTAGTGGCAAGATTGCATATTCAGCTGTGTGATCATAAAAATATACCCAGCAGTCAGAAGTTTTTTAGGGGTAAATTTCATATGTGATCGGTGAACTATTGGCGAAATTTCATATTCCGAAGGTTCCGAGAATGGAGAAATTTCACCACTTCATCGTCAGTCGAATCCTAAATTGTTGGAAATTGCTTTATTGGTAGCCATACCACAATAGATCTACTACTTAATCATACCAACTGATCAATAGGCCACATTGTAAAATTGTAAACTTTTAACATTTTAATTTAAATCTTCATTTTACTATTTTAGTTTCTAGGATTCTGTAGTTGGAAGTCATATCGTAACTGATCTTCTACGTAATTCCTATGTAGCACCGTAAAACCTAAAATAGTAAAATGAGTATTATTGTGATGCCATTAGATTAAAAGTTAAAAGGCTTTCGACACTTGCAATGTCACATACTGGTGAGTTAGCATATTATGGAATGATTACGTAAAATATCTATTGTAGAATGAGTATCATTGAAGCAATTTACTAATTTAAGATCCGACATATGACGAAGTGGTTAAATTTCTCCATATTCCGAACCCTAGGATGAATATGAAGATTTTCGCATATAAAATTTATCCCCTAAATTAACTTAAACTTTTGTCTGCTGGATATGAATTTTTATAATCACACAGCTGAATATTCAAGCTTGACACTAATTCCTCCATAATTGGAACCCTCTGCTGACTATAACCATGGAGTTAACTTTGTTCTGGATGGTATTCTTTCAACCACACATCATGGTTATGTGAGGAATTTATCACTGATCATATACTAAAAAAACTTTTATAATTTTGATGTTCTTAACAGGCCATTGATTTTGAGACACAATTCAACTCCTTTGAACAAGTTCAAAATTTTTTGAAGGAGAAAACTTTGTTCGGCTATTTTGTACAGTGTTGTCAGCTATCGAACAATATTAAAGAACAAAAGAAACTAAAAAGTCTGATCCATCGTACTCAACATTCAATTTAATGCAAAATTAACACTTGTGTAAAGTCTACGATGATGCAACTGATGGGTTGCGACCATAAGGCTTATAATTAGCTCGATTTTCAGGTACGATTTTGAAGTCATTGTTTCGAGGATCAACAGATGAATAAGGCACTATTATATGATACTAGGTGCAAGCGACGTGCAATGCACGTTTGCGTAGTTTATATTTAATAGTTTTGTTTAAGAATTAATTTGTTATTAATAAAGATGTAATTTTTTTTGATTAATTAAATAATTAATGATGTAATGTTTATGTAATTGATAAATAATTGACATTAATGGAATCAAATTTAGGCAAAAGATGATCACAAATCAATTTCCAATCGAAAAGTTATGCTCCGATATTTTAGTCTCATATTGAGACCTATTTTTGGCATAGAAAGTGATCGAATTGGAGAATGATATATGAATCAAAGTTGTAGCCAGATGAGTTAGCTTTCCAACGCATTTTGAATCGCCTCAATCGGATATTGGAATACAAAGTTAAGATAAAAACACTGAATGAAGGTGTAGCTGCCTGTTTAAAACAAGAAATTCCGTTACATAGTCCGTTAAAACAAGAAATTCCCTTAGTTTTTCCGTTAAAAACAAGAAATTCCGTTACATAGCCACTTTTAATATATAGAAGATATCTGCTGAAACAAAAGCAGAATTGAAATGGCAGAAAGAAATGAGCCTCGATCCCCATTTATAGGTAGATATGTCACATATGGCTTCAAAATATTGAAACTGGCCAATGAACAACAGTTGGATTTCAAATTTGATTTATTTTTAAATTAATTTTGCAAACATGACATAATTAGGTGACACATTTGCTGTTAATTTTAATGTTCACATAAGATTGTATTGTTAAATTTAGGAATGGGATGACAGATTGACATAGTGACCAGAATATTAACCCGATTGAGATAAATTAAATTTAAGTGATCGAAGTGAAAATTCTCTGATATTTTAGTGACCACAAATGAAATTAACCGATTAATATTATCTCATTCCTTTACCTTTAAAAAGTTGAATACCCGTAGAAGCATCCCGTGTAAAGGACGGGCCTAATTTTTCCTAATAATAGGATGGAATTTTAATCCAAACGGTTCATCTTCGTACAATCCAAATATTAGCATACAATGACAGTTACAGCTTAGCAATGGAGTGTGGCACTGGCGGGGTTTATTTATGAATTTCATGTGGAAATTAATTTAATTAAATGCAACCCGAACCCAAAAAATAAAACAAAAAGCAGGTGCAATTACAGAGAAGAAGAAGACAAAACGAGAAGAGGTATTCACTGTCGCTTTCGCATGTCTATATCGCCACTCATATGAATTTCGTGAATCCCATACTTACCACTTCTTTCTTAATTTTTCTTATCTGCTATTAATTTATTTCTTTCTGTATAAATTTTCAGGCACCGCTAAAAATGCTCCCATTTAAGCTGCACAATTTCACATGTGATTTTTTTTTCTCCCGAACCACAAATTTGTTCCATTTAGATATCCTCCACATGCAGGTGTGTGAATTTTTGAAGAAATTGTTTATGGGTTTTTTATTTTTATTTTTTGAATTATCTGAACTGATGTTCCATCCCCCAGTAATATATGAAGAGCTACCATAGTTGAAAAAATTGTAGTGGCAGGTGTTATAGAAAAATGTGAAATTAGTCAGCGTTCTGCACTATTTGCGTTCAATTTGTTGTTCTTCTCCTGTTACAATTGGTGCTCGTTCACTGTTTTTATGGTTTCAAGTTAGAATTTTTAGTGTAATAATTCTTGACGGGATCTTTAAATGTGCTGATACTTTTTCATGGGTTTTCTAGGAAATCTTTTACCTACCTAGGCCAGGGTTGATGATAAATTGATAGGTATCAGTATGTATGACTTTATATACATTCATGGGTAATCCAGATAATAATAAATTTTCCGAGATAGTTGACATAGTGAAATCATGGATTCCGCGAAGGCCCGAGCACGTGTATATGTCCAGGAATTTCTGGATGCCCGACGAGAGCTGCAGAGTGTGCTACGAGTGTGATTCCCAATTCACTATTTTTAACCGCAGACATCACTGTCGACTGTGTGGACGGGTTTTTTGTGCCAGGTGCACTGGGAATTCTGTTCCTGCCCCTGCCCTCTCTGATGAACCCAGGAGTGGGAGGGAAGATTCTGATCGAGTTAGAGTTTGTAATTACTGCTTCAAGCAACGGGAGCAAGGGTTGGCTACTGCCGGTAATGTTATGACTTCATCAAGTCCGTCACTGAGTCCATCTTCCTCTGCTACAAGTTTGGTCAGCACTCAATCTAGTTGCCACTCTTGTAACAGCAACAGCAGTGCTGGTTCAGCTGCATGTTCTACAGGGTCATTCCAGCATGTTACATGTAGCGCTGGTCAGAGCTCTGATCATTCTGCTCAAATGGATTCAAATTCAGTCAAGCAAGATCTTGTAACAAGTCCTGAAAATTTGAAAAAAGTTGATGCAACGGATATTTTCTGTGACCAGTTTGGATCACCCAGCAGGTATTTTCACAACATATTTGAGGCAAGAAAGCAGCATTATCATTGCATTTTACTGCCTCAGTTTGTTTGGTTTTGTTCAGGTCAATCTTATGAAATTGTTTAAATAGTGTTTTGCCCTTCTTTCTTTAGAATGAAGTGATGTTGAGGATAAACCTGATTATTCACTTTTTTTGGTTTGTGTTCACGGTGATTCAAATTCGTTGCCTAAGGAATTTTACCTTCACTACTTCTTCACCGCTATCATATAAAGCTTTTGTCACCTCTCTTCGTTGCCAATCCTTTATGATCACGGTTTATGTTGTCTTTGTATTCTGTTCATATGGTACTTGTGCTAGACTTTTAATTAAAGATCTTTTAGGAGATGTTGTGCTTTGCGTTTACGCAAATTTTTCGTATTGATTTAATGTTTTGATTGAAACTTTTCCTTGATAGACCAATTTTTTGCTAGTAATTGTCAAATATTGGTAATATGTATTTCCTGCTCATTGCTTCATTGATGATTCTAGGAGTGATGACGAGGAAGATGACTACTCTGTATATAGATCACATTCTGAAGTAAGCCCATTATCTCATGCTGATGTATGTTATGATGCTGTTCACTATGGAGAGATTGATCACATCTATGAGCCTCATGAAGTGCAAGCTCATAAGGAAATTTCTGATCCAACTCGTATAAATTCCAACCTGTTTCCTGAGAATTTTGAGACACAGAGATTGGATGAAGTGGCAAGGGTTGGGGAAGAAGCAGCTAAACAGAATAATGGCATTGAGTTGGGACAGCCTCCTTTAAATCATTTGAATGGTACAGATGTTGAACCTGTGAATTATGAACATAATGGTTTGCTTTGGTATCCTCCAGATCCTGAAGATGAAGAGGATACGAGAGAAGCGCTTCTGTTTGATGATGATGATAGTGGTCGTGAGGGTTCAACAGGAGAGTGGAGTTACTTATGCTCAAGTAGCTTTGGTGGTGGGGAGTCCCGAAGTAGGGATAGATCAAATGAGGAGCACCGGAAGGCCATGAAAAAAATAGTTGATGGGCATTTCAGAGCTTTAATAACTCAACTTTTGCAGGTTGAGAACCTACCCATAACTGAAAACGGTATTCAGAAAAGTTGGCTAGATATTGTTACTGCATTATCCTGGGAAGCTGCTACTTCTTTAAAGCTGGATTCAAGCATGGAGGGAGGCATGGATCCTGGTGGATATGTGAAGGTTAAATGCATAGCTTGTGGACATCGGAATGACAGGTATCTTTGTTCGACTTTGCATAACATTTCACTTACAAGTTGCAAGTCAGTGTAATCAGTGTAGCCAACATGATAATGCATTTGGGAATCCATGTCATTTTCTTTATCACTCCAAAAAAACATAATTTGTTCTTTTACTTTTTATGGTCTTAACTCATTATAAATTATTAGTCGAGTAGCTCAGAAGTTACTGGATTCTTTTATTGAAGGAGGTAAAGTTTGTTCCCAAGTGTGCTACAATTGGCTTGTGTGATTTGGACAGGGCATTTTGTTGAGTTTCCAAGAAAAAAAAATGAAAAAAAAAAAAAAGTAAAAAGAGATCTGGACCTCATTGGGGAAGATTGGAAAGAAATGATCCAAGTTCCTGACCCAAAGTAATTGACATCATGATTTGCTTCTATAATGTGTGTAAAGTATTGGCTCCATCTACTATTTTCCCATTCTGATTATTCTTGTTGTTTCTTCACCAGTATGGTAGTTAAAGGGGTTGTTTGCAAGAAAAATGTGGCTCATCGGAGAATGACTTCAAAAGTAGATAAAGCACGACTATTGCTGCTTGGTGGTGCCCTGGAGTACCAACGGGTTGCTAACCACTTGTCAAGTTTTGATACTTTATTGCAGCAGGTTGTGATTGGACTGTATGCCGTCTCTTCATTTCCGAATAATTAATATTGATAAAAAGGGCTCATAAATCACTTTTTTTTCATACCTGGTCTAGGCGGAGATATGCTTTTGTTTTCTTTGTATTTGATGCTCATTTTACTGGCTTTTTAAGGATATATTGGTTTATTGCTCTTATGGTCTTTTACATGTATCAGGAAATGGACCATTTGAAAATGGCTGTTGCGAAGATTGATGCACACCATGCCAATGTTCTTTTGGTAGAAAAAACAGTATCGCGATATGCACAAGATTATCTTCTTGCTAAAGACATCTCTCTTGTTCTTAACATCAAGAGACCACTTTTAGAGCGCATATCCCGCTGCACAGGTGCGGATATTGTTCCTTCAATTGATCATCTTAAAGCACCGAAATTAGGATATTGTGACTCATTTCATGTGGAGAGGTTCCTGGAAGAACATGGAAATGCTGGGAAAGGTCTAAAGAATTCAACAAGGACACTAATGTTTTTTGAAGGTTGCCCAAAGCCACTGGGATGTACCGTAAGTCTGGAAACAGTTCCTCTAATTGCATGAAAAGATTATTTTTTAATCATATTTGAGTTTTAGAATGGAAAGTTTAGAATTTTATCTAGAGCTATTATGCAACTAATATGTACATGGAACTTGTTAATGCTGTAAATAGTGCAGTGGTTTTTGTTAGTTGCTTCCAAAAATTATCTACTGAATAGGAAACTAACTGAATGGTGTGATTTCTAGGATATGACAATATTTAATATAGCAATACATTCTATTCGTGGAGAGTAATTATATATATAAACTAAAATTACAAATAAATTCAAATCTGCCAAAGGGTAACAATCAGGCAATCTTATTTATTATGCCCTATCTCGTCTTATAAATTTGTAGTGTCTGAATGTGTACGGTTGATCTTTTCTTCTCCTTTTTCTATCAACCTTTTTTTTCTTAACTGGGAGGGACTGTTCATTCCAAAATTGGATATTGGCTTAGAATATTCCATCTAACTATTAATTTATTGGAAATGTTTTGGCGTTTCTGGAGGATGATGTTTGTTGTTTTATTACTGATTTCATGTATTAGAACTTGAGTATCCTAAATGAAAATTCCCTGATGTTTGTTTCTAGCTTGAACTGCCAGATAATGGAGCTGAAAATAAAGTAGGATTATTATGTTAGTCTCCATTGGATGTTTCTCTTTACCCATTACATCTAACTTTTTGCCTCTATATACCTCACTGATTTCAGCAGATAATTTCAGTAGATAATTTTAAGATATCATCTTGAATGTTTTGCTGTAGATTCTGCTTAAAGGTGCCAGTGGAGATGAGTTGAAGAAAGTTAAGCATGTCGTCCAATATGGTGTTTTTGCTGCTTATCACTTAGCTTTAGAGACCTCTTTTCTCGCTGATGAAGGCGCTTCGATTCCAAAATTCCCATTGAAGTCTCCAATGAAAATTGCTTTGCCTGATAAACCATCAAATATTGATAGGTCCATTTTTGTCATACCTGGATTTTCTGTGCCTGCCAAGGAAAAGCCTCAAGGGCCTAAACCGCCTGACTATCTAACGTTTCAATCTGGAAATGACCCATTCCTAGATACTACACAATCATCAAAAATTATTCCCATCTCTGAGGCACATTCTTCTCTTTCTGAAGCTTCTAGTGCTCAGATTCTAAGTACCGAATGTATGCCGTATCCTTTAATGTGCGACTTCCCAGGTCCTCAGCAGGCCCAGTTCACTGCCAACCATGCTTCTGTGGAGAAAAATGGGACGACTCTCAATGAATATTTTGTCACTAAAACATCATCAGATCTTGTTGATGAAATGGCGAGTAAAGTTAACTTCGTTTGTAATTGTTTGCTCAATTCTGAGAATTCAGGACAAAGTGCTAGTTGTTCTCATGTAGATGGAAACAAATTGACTTCAAAATCTGGCACTTCAGAGTTAATATATTCGGGACAGCATAATCTGCATCAACTTCAGAAGATAAGATCTTTGAAAGAAGAGTTCCCTCCCTCACCTTCAGATCATCAGAGCATTTTGGTCTCCTTGTCAACACGCTGTGTGTGGAAACGAGCTGTTTGCGAACGTGCTCATCTCTTTCGCATTAAATACTATGGAAGCTTTGATAAGCCTTTGGGTCGGTTTCTTCTAGACCATTTGTCTGATCAGGTATTCCTCCCGTTCTACACAAATGCATGTATTCACTCATATGTCTGCATATTTGTTGTATGCAGAAGTTGGGTATTTGATTTCTAAAATTCCTTTGTAAGGGGTACCGATGCCGCTCGTGTGAAATGCCATCAGAAGCACATGTTCATTGCTATACCCATCAACTAGGCAGCCTTACCATTTCTGTGAAGAAGCTTCTGGAATTCCTCTTGCCAGGTGAACGAGAAGGAAAAATTTGGATGTGGCACCGTTGTCTACGGTGTCCTAGGACCAATGGTTTCCCTCCTGCTACAAAAAGAGTGGTCATGTCGGATGCTGCTTGGTGTTTATCTTTTGGGAAGTTTTTGGAACTCAGCTTTTCAAACCATGCTTCTGCAAACAGGGTTGCAAGCTGTGGTCATTCCCTGCATAGAGATTGCCTTCGGTTTTATGGGTATGCATTTTCCTATCCCTGTCAGTTACAACACTGGGCTCCGGTCCTGATGTAATTGATTGGCCTTTCTGCATGAATTGATTAAAAGAGTGAAAGTCAAAGTCTGACAATTGATAATTTACTGAAATTGACAGCATGATGCTACTCATTATATGTTGATGATAAAAATGGTCTGGATATTCGTGTTCCAAAGTCTGAAGTGCCGAACTGAAGAAATTGATGAAGTTGAAATCCAACTGTAGGTCTGTGATATAGACATCAGTGCAGGCATTATATAGAATTTAAAATTCTTAATCTTGTCCTGTATACTGCTCATTCTTGTCTCTTGAAGCTAATCGATCTATATAATGCTGGTAAATAAGCTTTTGGTAACGCTTCAATTGGAATGCTGACAATCTTTGTTATACTTGGCTGTATTTCTGTTTTTCTCTAATTAAGATTCCTTGCATATAAGTTTGTTTCTGTTAGATCCTTAATTGTTGGTCTTTTGACACGGACTTCCTCAAAACTTTAACTAAATATATCCTTTTCGTCTTGCACAATTAGGTGTTTTGACTCTGTTCTTTCATTTGGAATTCTTGAAGTGATGTGTTTTAGCTGCTAGTCTAGTTGGGATTGCATATCTACTTGAGTTCTTAGCTTCAACGGGTTAACTTGCTTATTTTTGTCTCCATGGGAATGGTTCACATGATAATTGCAGAGCTTGACTGCTTTTGCCTGCTTAATTCTTTCACTAAGGTCCAAGATATGCTTTCCAGCATTGACGTCTAAGTCCTCAATTACTTTGCTGTGTTTGGTTTGCAGTTTGGGGAGGATGGTTGCATGTTTTCAATATGCACCAATTGATGTTCTCTCTGTCTACCTCCCACCGTCAAAGCTTGAATTTAATTATGATAAACAGGAGTGGATACAGAAAGAAGTTGATGAGGTGAAGTTATTTAAAAACCACTCATTTGCCTCATTGCTGTAGTTTTCATTTCTTGTAGAGTGATTGTATATTTCATAACACAGGTTAGCCGAAGGGCAGACATGCTCTTTTCTGAGGTGTTGGAAATTCTTCATCAGATGTCAGCAAAAAACTCAAATGAATCCAGCATGGAAGCACCTGAGTTAGGTCAACAGATTTTAGAACTTGAAGTAATGCTGCAGAAGGAGAAGGAAGAGTTTGAGGTGTTCTCTTGTGAACATTTCCCAAATTTTTCTTCCAACAAACTAGAAAAACTTTTTTAACTCTTTATGTGCTAATTTAAACTTGATTAACAGAATTACAGTGCTGGTTTTTTTTTTCTCTGTTTCTTGAAGTTAGGGTAAACCACGAGTTCTGAAATTTCTGTTTGCTAAGGTTTCCTTTACACAACTACTTCGTTATTACTGCTTCTTGAGCTAATGTTTTGCATAAAAACCTAGACTATGATGCATCATGTCTTCTCCGGTTTTTGCTGGTTATGAATGAAATGTTAAAATGACGGATTCTGTTTTTTGCTGGTAGAAAACCTATTGCCAACTTGATGCAGGAACATGTTTATAGACTTCTGATATCCGTTTCTCTAATTAAATTCATGTTATATAGGAATCATTACATCACATGCTTTATAAGGTGGATAAATTTGGTCGGCCTGCAATTGACATTCTCGAGGTCAACCTATTAAGAAGGCAGCTAGTTTTCCATTCTTATGTTTGGGACCAGCGGTTGATACATATTTCTAGATCTGATGTACAGGGATCAAAACTGAAGCAAAAGTTTGTCAATTCAAGAGAGAGGCCTACAGAGATAGATGTGGCTTCCATGGCTAGCAGAAGCTTCAGCAGCTGGGATTCTTCTCATTCTTCTCTTCCAAGTATGCAACTTGATATGACGCCAACTCAGGTAGGATATAACCCAAATACCTCACTTGATGAGATTCATAGAGAGTTGGACGTAAATCAAATCCTGAAGCATAGAAAAAATGCTGATGCTTCTTATTCATCTGATACAAATGCAAATAATCAGTCAGACAAGCAGAAATCTGGAAAAACTGTGCGAAGGGCTCAATCATCAGGAGGATTCACAGTGCTGGAATCTTCATCTGCTAATTTAGTTCCTGCATGGACTGGTGATCGCCAGAAAGCAACTATAGCTTCTAAGGAAAATGGTATTACACTTCCTGATATGCTCCCCAGAGTCTCCACTTCTGGCAAGATATCACCCGGGGAAGAATCTGGTGTTGGGAACTGTACAAATGATCGATCTGTGGCTGAAGTGACTCCTGGTAGTGGATTTGCATTATCTGTTATGGGGCTTGATGATCTCAAACAGCCTAGTAGTTGGATGAGGATTCCCTTTTTGACTTTGTATTACTCATTCAACAAAAAATCTTCAAATGCATTTGAACTTGGTAAGATTAGGGACTATAATCCTGCTTATATCTCAACATTGCGAGAGTTGGTACGTCAAGGTGGCGTTAGGTTGCTGCTACCCATGGTTTCTGATGAAACTGTTGTGCCAGTTTTTGATGATGAGCCTACGAGCATCATTTCATATGCCCTTGTATCCCCACATTACCAAAAATCCATGTCAGGGGAACTTGGAAAACAGAAAAACTCTGTCGAGTCCTCAACTTCATTATCATTTTTGGAGTTAGTGAATTCACTTTCACTTCAATCTTTCAGCGAGGCAGCATCTGAATCGCTACGGAGTCTTGCGTCTTCTGATGAGAGCATTTTATCCAGTTTTGGTTCTCGGAGTTTCTCTGGTTTGGACCCCCTTTTATTTACAAATACTTTCCACACAAAAGTACCTTTTTCGGATGAAGGTCCTCAGGGGAAGGTGAAATATTCAGTGACTTGTTACTTTGCAAAGCAATTTGAGGCCTTGAGAAGGACTTGCTGCCCAAGCGAGTTAGATTTCATCCGCTCCCTTAGTCGCTGTAAGAAGTGGGGTGCACAGGGTGGAAAGAGCAATGTCTTTTTTGCCAAGACATTGGACGATCGATTTATTATCAAACAGGTGACAAAGACTGAGCTAGAGTCATTCTTTAAATTTGCACCAGATTATTTCAAGTATTTAAATGAATCCATAAATACTGGATGCCCCACTTGCCTGGCAAAGATCTTAGGCATCTATCAGGTATTAGCTTTTACGAACCATTTCATTCATGTAGTTTTTCCATTAGCAAATACTTTCATCATTTTTATTTAGTTGCTGTTTTTTAACCTCTCATATTATGTTGAAGTTGAGCTCATAAAGTCTCAATCTTTATGGAACTTCTTGTGCTTCTTCTAAGGAAACAATTTGCACGACTTTTCCTCCAGTTCTGCACTTTCCAGAGCTTTTGAACCACATATCTTCTGCCTATATGAAGTTTTTATAGAATCGTACTTTGATATATAGTGGCTAATCTTTTTGGTTGATTGGTGGTAACTTAAAAGGTTACGTCAAAACATCTTAACGGAGGGAAGGAATTAAGAATGGATGTTTTGGTGATGGAGAATCTGATTTTCAAGCGCAACATTAAGCGACTATATGACCTCAAAGGATCTTCTCGATCACGGTATAATCCAGATTCAAGTGGAAGTAACAAAGTTCTACTGGATCAAAACCTGATCGAGACAATGCCAACTTCTCCAATTTTCTTAGGAACAAATGCAAAAAGGTTATTGGAGAGAGCTGTGTGGAATGACACTTCATTTCTTGCTGTAAGATTTTGATTAATTTACTGTAATGATACCGAAATGTGCTTACCTTAAATCTAGTTTTTCACATGGGTGGATTTTATTTTTATATTTTCTTGGGGTGGGTTGGGGGCCTTCTCACTTTCATCACACTGACACGGTAATGTGATTAATAATTTGACTGGATTGGTAGCACCTTTTCCTTTTCTCATCTATCTCATGCTAACATAGTCTTATTTATGATGCTCCTACAGTCGATAGATGTGATGGACTACTCACTGCTCGTTGGTGTGGACGAGGAAAAACATGAGCTGGTGCTTGGTATTATTGATTTCATGAGGCAATATACATGGGACAAGCATCTTGAAACATGGGTGAAGGCATCAGGCATTCTCGGAGGGCCCAAAAATGCATCTCCAACAGTAATTTCTCCGATGCAGTACAAGAAACGATTTAGGAAAGCTATGTCTGCTTATTTTTTATTGGTGCCTGAGCAATGGTCTTCCTCAGTGATCATTCCAAGGCCAGCCCAATTGGACCTAAGAGTAGAAGAAAATTCACAAGAAGCGTCTATAGAATGATAGTGTAATGCTTTAAGCCTCTATTTCAAGATGTCTCTCTTTTCTTGTTCACAATTATTTCTTTAAATGCCTCGACTTTTACCTGTTTTGTACCTAGCAGCAGAAGGCCATTTTTTGTGCCAAGAAATGTTAGGCTGTGTTCATTATGTTTTCCAGCTCCAATCATGTGTGTGTATATATATATATATATATATAATATTTCTTTCTTACGTTGTATTCATTTCTTTATTATTGGCCTTCTTGATCTTCCCCTTGTTAGATTTCCCTTTTATTTATTTATTTATTTGGAGTTGAAAGAATGTAGGCTGGGAGGCAGGAAAGGAGGATCACTTTTCTTGAGGTCGATGAAAATTATGAATAACAGAGAAAAATAATGTTGGTCGAAGAATATGCTGTATTTATACAAGTAATTCCCACCATATTGCCAAAACATTATAAGGAAAGAAATAATGTAAAATATCCTACATTGATAGAAAAATCCAATATATTTTCAATCTTATATTACTATGATATTTTCCTATTATGGAGATAAAACTTTAACACTCTTCTTCAAGTTGGAGCATGAATGTTTGAGACAATTTGCCCATATGACTCTTGAGAAGTGACTTTTCAATAGCTTTTGTAAACATATCCGCTATTTGTCTTGTTGAATTGACAAACTGCATTGCCAGCAGATCCGCTTTGATCTTCTTTCTAACCACATGGCAATCCAATTCGATGTGTTTTGTTCTTTCTTGAAATATTTTGTTCGCACCTATATGTAATGCTGCTTGATTATCACAAAAAAATGTTGCTGGTTCTATAAGATTAACATGTAGATCTTTGAACAAATATCTCAACCACATCAGTTCACATGTTGCTGAAGCTATTGCCCTATATTCTGCTTTTGTCGAAGATCTTGACACTGTAGTTTGCTTCTTTGTCTTCCAAGATACAAGTGAATTTCCCAGAAAAATGTAAAAACCTGTAACTGATCTTTTGGTGGTTGGGCAAGACGCCCAATCTGCATCACAAAATCCTATGATTTTGAAATCATTATAAGATGAGAATAAAAGACTTTGTCCAGGTGCTTGCTTTATATATTTCATCACACAAAAGCATCCAAGTGAGGTTTCCTTGGTTGGTTCATGAATTGACTCTGCAAATTCACTGAATATTGGATGTCTGGTCTCATGATAGTCAAGTAGATGAGTTTTCCCACTATTCTTCTGTATTGAGAAGAATTCTTCAGTAGGCCTCCTTCTGTTGGCTTCAATTTAAGATTCGGTTCCATTGGAGATGCTCCAGGTGCCATGCCCAATAGTTCCTCTTCATCGAATAAATCTAGCATATATTTTCTTTGTGAGACGCTTATGCCTTTACTTGAATGTGCCACTTCAATACTCAAAAAAAACTTCAACTTTCCCAAGTCTTTTATTTTGAAATGATTGCTCAAAAAAATCTTTAACTTTGCAATTTCTAATTCATCATTCCCTGTTAAAACCATATCATCTACATAAATTAAGACAACATTAAACAACTTTTGGTTACCTTTTGTGAATAAAGAATAATCTGCTAGAGATTGTTCACAACCCGCTTTACATATAGCAGCAGAAAACTTAGATTACCAATTTCTAGTCTTGTTTCGGTCCATAAAGAGATTTGTGAAGTTGACAAACTAATGAAGTCTCTCCCTATCAATTGTAATTGGGTGGTGGGAGCGTGTAGACTTCTTCTTTAAGATCACCATGAAGAAAGACGATCTAGACATCAATTTGATGTAAAGACCTTTTACGAGTTGCAGCTATGGCTCAAAAACATCGTACTGTTGTGAGTTTTCTTACTGGTGCAAAAGTTTTCGTGTAATCCATGCCTTCTATTTGGTTATATCCTTAAGCAACTAAGCGAGCTTTATACCATTTGATGCTCCCATCTGCCTTGTGTTTTATTTTATAAACCCAACGACATCTAATTTGTTTCTTATCTTTAGGTATGCCGTAAAAGACCAAGTTTCATTGTCCACTAAGGCTTGAATTTCAGTATCCATGGCTGCCTTCCAATTTGGATCATGTACAGCTTGAACAAAATTAGCTGGTTCAAGTGTTTGAAAAATGTTGACTACTAAACTCTTATGGTTAGGTGATAAGTTGGAATAGGAGACATGGTGAGAAATGGGATACTTGGTTCCTTTGTGTGTCTTAGCTACGTGCGAAGAGTCATGGTTTGGATTGATTGTCGAGACCTGTGAACACATGAAGTCTCTTAGCTAAATTGAAGGTCTTCGAACCATTTCAGATGTTCTGAGGTTTTTTAGTTTTGTTGGTGGTTTTTGATGGCTATTTGTAATTTCAGGTTGTTGTTCAAAACCCGCTTCCTGTGGAGGTAAGTTAGATGGTGCTGGTGTAGATGGTAAAGAAGTGATTGAGACACTGACGATGGTGAGTGTGTTGGAAATACCATTGGGGTTGAAGAAACTCACCAAAGTGTGCAGCAACAATATAAACAAAATTTGAATCAAAATAAAAGGTTCAAACGCGTAATCGCTGTCCTCAAACTATATTTGCCCCCACTCCAATTAATTAAGATGTACAAGGATTTTCATCAAATGGTTTGAAGGATTGATCAAACCTTGTTGCAGAAAATATCAAAGCACAAATATTTTCCACCCAAACTTGAAGAACACAAAGGGGTTCTAAATATAAAGAAGAAAATATGATTTCTATTGCTATGGAATAAATAAGGTTGCAATAATGATTTTTCATTATTCTCAAATGAGCAGGGAACACCTATTTATAGCCCTCAAGAGTTGTCCATAGAATGGTGCCAAAATAGGATGAAAAGTCACCAAGTTTAAAATGACAACGGCTATAAACGAACAAAAAACCGCAAAAATTATGACCTATGCGGTCGCATAGGCTAAACAGCCTATGCGACCACATAGGTTTCTCAAAATCAGGACATTAAGTCCCTATATAGGACTATGCGACTGCATAGTCCTTTGAACTATGCGGTCGCATAGTTCAAAACTTTGGCCTTCATCCCCAATTTTCATTCCAAGCTTGATTTCATTATTTTGAACAAGTGGGGGATTGATGAAAAATGTTGTTCAAAATCAATAAACATGCGAGTTGAATAGAAATGGAATTGGAAGCCAAAACTTTGTTCCATACGATCGCATACATTCAGCCTATGCGGTCGCATAATGGTGTATAGGGTCTTAAGGCCCTGCTATGGAAATAACCATGCAGTCACATGGGATTGGCCTATGCGACCGCATGGGTTAAAAACTAGCCGTTAAGCAGTTTTTTTAGTTTGAAACTTAGTGGCTTTTGGAGGGTATTTTGATGCCTTTTTCGCTTGATTTGGCACCAATTCGTGGGGTTATGATGGTAACCTAAATTTAGGTGATAAAATGATCAATACAAACATTGAAAAACATAGGTGAAATATTATTCATTCCACAAAAATAAGAAAATCAAGTTTTCTTCATCCATATTCATTTTCCTCCTTGTGTTATCAAGTTTGGATAGAAATACTTAGTGCTTTAGTATTTCTATGACAATACTTGATTAATCCTACAAAACATTTGCTGAAAAACCCTTATGCATCTTATACAAACTGGAGATGGGACAAATATCGTTTGAAGACAATGATCTTGGTTTTGTTCGTGCCTTGTTAATCTTGTTGCTGTAATTTTTTAGGTGATCATTTGCATCGGTTTTTTCCTATTCTTTGCATGGAAGATCAAAGACTACAAATGGATAAATAGCCATCTTCGGTAACATAAAGATAAGTTCATCTTCTTCTTTTGTTTATTTCTATTAATGAATTAAGTTTTGATTCTGGGTTTTCTTGATTGTGTTGCTGATTATAATTGTTGGTTTCTACTCTATTTCCTCTCTTGGTGAATTATTTCCTAACAGAGTGCTGGTTAGCAGGTATATCTGATGGTAAATGATTTGTGATGTGGTCACAATGCAGAGGTAAGACTGTGGCATCTGTAGCTTGTTGAGTTGGAATGGCCAGATAAGGAAACTTTGTCTCATGAAAAACAACTTCCCGATTGGAAAGGAGTCTATTATTCTTTAAATCATATACTTAATATGCTTTTTGGCCGGTCGAAAACCAAGATAAATGTATCTTTTGGCTCTTGTATCAATTTACAAGACCATTAAATAAAGGACCATGCTACATGTACAAAATGTTTTACCTAATTTTTTACAAATTCCCGATTGGAAAGGAGTCTATTATTCTTTAAATCATATACTTAATATGCTTTTTGGCCGGTCGAAAACCAAGATAAATGTATCTTTTGGCTCTTGTATCAATTTACAAGACCATTAAATAAACCCCACCGATAGAGGGAAGATGTTGCATCAGCAATATTTGGACCCTAATGGCTTAATAGGACTCGCGGAGTCCCATTAAAAACTGCATCAATTTACTTCTTTGCTCCTTCTCTTCAATTTTTTTCTTTGCTCCACATTAACAAGGTGTTATTTCATTGTAGGAGCCTAATTCATCCCGTAGACCTTTGAGCCTTGAAAAATATGTCGTAACTGACATGTCAGTGATGTCACCTTGATTGAGGGATGTTATTTCCCTTTCAATCTGGAAAATTCTCGGTGCATTGTGCTGGGAAAATCTTTCCTTCAAATTGTACCAGACTTCTAATGCATTTTCTGTGTAGATCACGTTGTCCCCTAAATTTGGATCTATCGCGTTTAGGATCCATGAAATTATCATGTCGTTGCTTCTTTGCCAAGAAGTAAAGTTTTATCTACCTTTGAAGGTTTCTCGATTGTGTCGTCAATGAAGCCTATTTTGTTATTCGCATTGAGTGCATTAGTCATTGTTCTGCACAGGTTGAATAATTATCTCCATTTAAGGGCTTTGTAATTAAAATGGCTCCAGGGTGATTTGAAGAATGAAGAAAAAATGGGTCCGAGGCATCGACTACAACTTTCTGTGCTACATGAACATTATATATTTCACCTTTTTCTGACATAGTTGTTTAGGCT